CCCTCAAATCAAGGAACTTGGGCGCTTGGGTGGGGTGTTGAAATTTGTTTTACATAGAAAATACTACCTATCAAACATGTTAAAAGTAAGAAAATGGAATTTTATTTCCAACTTCCAAGGAAAAAAAGGTTGTTGACCAAGGGCAAGCCAATTGATTTTGTAAATTTCTTCAACTTTAAAATGTCAAAAAATACTATTTCAAAATCAATTTTTTTTTTCAAATAATGAAGCTCAAACAAGGGCTTAATAGACTCTCCAAACTCCCGCACGATATATATAAATTAAAAGAACAAGAAGAAAATATATTTTGAACCAAAAAAAAAAAAAGACATGACTTGGATTGTTAATGGAAAATTAAATGAAAAAAATTATTCTTTTATTTAAATATGATTTTTCTCCCTGCAAACAAAATTCTATCAATGGGAGAAAAAATGATGTTAATGTTAAATTATTGTTTTCAAATTTATTTTGTTACCTAAACATTTTTTCTACAACAATATTTATTTATTTTTTACTTATTCAACACCAGTAAATTAATTATCAAAATTAAAATTTTAAATTACAAACTACAGGAAAAAAAATGACTTGAAAATTCTGATGATAAACTATTTGGCATGAAATTTTCTCAAAAAAACTTGAGGCCTCATCTGAATGTGGGACCTTATGACCGTCTCACTTGTTTGGACGTTGAAAATAAAATCTAAGAATAATTATGTCAATTATATTAATGGTCACTAGAGATGGCAAATTTCCCCATCCCGGCCCGGGTTGACGGGGCAGGATAGGGCGTGGCGAGGATGCCCTCGTCCGAACCCACCCTGTGAAGAATTAAAAACAAAAAATGTTTTCAACATCGTTTGTTTTAGACATTTTTTGTTTCGAATGCTTGCTTTGAATATTGATGTAGTTAGTTTGAACATTATTTATTTTGAATTTGTATTTTAACTGGAAAAAAAAACTAACAAACAGGGCAGGAAAAGGGTCAGACCCACGGCCCACCCGTTGCCATCACTAAT